TCTCTTTTTCAATCTGAAATAGTGTGCACTGCAAATAATGCTTACGGACAATTGTTTTAACTCTTCTGCCCTGCACACTTATGAGAGTAATTACATAGTATCGGAATATCGGCTTTTTAAAATATCGGTTCTTTCCTTTGGTATCGGTATCGGCGACAAAAGTGGTATCGATGCATCTCTACTATACACGCCTTTGAAAAGATTCAAAGATTTGCAATGTAGCACAATGAAACTGAGAATCGGACCATTATGATGAACCTATATCCCTAAGTCTGTATAGGGAATCGTTAGTTCGTTACCTCCACTTCATGCCACGAACACAACCGGTATAAATCAGAACCGCAGTTTGTCATAGATATGATCAATGTAATGTTAGAACAAAACCTTACACGGCTTGCTGCCTCAAATTACTAAAATCTCAAGTACCTGCATGATGGCCGAATTGGAAATTTTTGTAAGCTGTCCATGAGAGAAACGGCCACGTGGCAACATAGTGATCATCTGCAATAGCCTTCATCTGTATTTGATAACTTTTCAACCATTCATCTTCGTTGTTGCGACATGTGAAAATAAGCTGAAATGATATATATATATAAAAACTTTTGATAAATGTGAAGTGCTGTGCCAAATGATGTAACTATTTGATTTTGTTCCGATGGATGCAATGGGGTTTGAGATAGATATCCTAGCATGATTCATGGTGTAATATATATGTAAGTCTGTAGTTCCAAGGAACAAAAGACGTCATTGTATTAATTAATGTGACTGTTCAGAAGATATAGCATTATAGATTATTCCACTTTTCTGATTGCACTCCTCAGGGAAAACACGTTTGGAATCTCATAGCGTTTGATCAGGTAGGATAGGAGTTTGGGATATTCGCCGATCACATGATGATTTACACATCTGTTTGTTGATTACAGCTTTCCCTTAAAATTGCGACTAATTATCTCCAGCATTGAATAATTGTAATACCGGATCTTTTCCCATTTGCGGAAGTATATACAATCCTCGTATCGGGTGAACTCTACAATCCTCATATCGTGCAATCTCTACGTATAGCTCAAGTATATATATAATAGTTTCATCAGCATCCAGCCACTGACACTGTTTACGAATTAGGTGAATCACATTTGAAGGTTAACCATGGAGCCACTCGATTTTATTTCTAATTTTGTCAAAACGAGTAAAATCACATAGTATATACTATATACGGTGACCGTACATTTGAACCCACGTACATTTGAACCTATGTGTATATCCACGGGTTCAATCTATATGCGGGTGCTAAAACTCATGGGTTAGGGTTAGTATGAGTTCAACTATCCGAAAAACAAAAAAAAATCCATAGGTGCAATAGCATACAGGTGCAATTGTCATGGGTTCAAATGTACGTGGGTTCAAATGTAATGGAACCACTATATACTATCATTCAAAACAATCGGAGTAATTAAAAGTTTTAGAAAATGTATTATTTTGCGCACCGTTGTTTTATACTATTCAGCTTTGCCATGTCATGCGTGAAAAAAGTGAAACGGGATAGATCGATTTTACGGGGACACCAGGGCTAACTGTTTAACGGTATTATTAGAATAGGATTTACACATTTCTCCCGAAAGAGAAAAAAGCCGATAAGAAGCCTTGATCATATGGCGATCCATTGTCTTTCGTCCGGATAACAGTCCATGTTAGGGTTTAGTTAGCTTCGTATTTGTTTACTTGATATTGGACGAAGCCGCAACCGACCAGCAATTACGTGAACCATCCTGCGATGGTTATGAGTCCAGCAATCCTATCTCACATAATTATCCCCCGCGGAATTTGAACCTGCGAACCCATGCAGGGTAATCAAGGTGCTTTGGCGAACGCATTCCTAATGTTTAGCACGATGAGCAATACCGCCAAGGATATCATATAAACCGCCGCAAAGCGCATATAACACATTGTCAGCCGATAAAAGGAGTTATGTTTGTTTCGAATATAAGCCGCAAGTTGTATTTCACACTTGGACAAGATAAAATTGACGATGATATATGTAGAATATTTCGTAAAATTTTCCTGTTGAAATTTGCCAAATTTTGTAGAAAATATCGTAGAAATGATTGATCTTTGCTAGCAAAACCGCTAACTATCATGAACCCAAAATACCAGTGAAGAAACCGTGACCTTTTGGTGTCGAGCATGACGAGCGTGGCGTTAATTGATATGGGAAACCTTACATGCAGAAGTTGTCTGAAATTAATATAGTAGACACATTTGAGATATTAAATCAAACGAAACCAATGAAATATACATTTTATTCCTGACTGAACAAGATTTTTCAAATATGGTGTAAAATAAGCAATTTCTCTGTGAATACAAAATAACTTTTGATTTTCTGATGTGGACAATTCTTACATTTATATTCAAAGCACCAAACACATTTTAGTACCTTAATGTCGGGAAACGCTTCAGAGATTTCTTCCCAGAAAAGACATGCAGGGATGTCTGTAGCAGCATCAACGTCTTTATACATTCGATAAAAATCTTCTTTCGTCCCTCCTTCGGTCATTATTTTTATCCATTCCTCTCTAAGATAATTTTGATTTTCTTCGAAATCATAGACTGAATAACCTAGAGTGCGAAGTGCTGAAGCTAAGGTCTTTGTTCCACATTTTGAAAATGAGACTACTAATACCTTCATCTCGCCTATGCGCGTACTACTTCCCTACTTTACAATGATCTGTCAAACGTTGTGCATAACCCAATCGCGCTGCGTTCAAGAAAATGCTAATTTACACTCTGATAGCCCACATTCATGTAAACGAATTAGTAGTCAGTTTATTTGACGAGCAAACAACTATCAGTGGTGTTTAATGTTAAAGCTGTGTTAGTAATACTAACTTGACATGGTTTGCTAGGTCAATGGATGTCGGAAATAGAATAGCTGATTGCATAACCGCATGTTTAAGTGGTTGTGAAGTTATATTATATTACGTATTCATTAAACTGCCGAACAAGAGAAGGCGATAGCGTGAACAAATATCAGACGTGTTCAATGCCTAATATTGAATTATAGACAAAGGCACGAAAACACAGAAAGGTTGCTGCTAACTGTAAATGGTTTAATGGCGCCGAAAATATCCAAATGGAATTTTTTGAGATGCAATGCAATGAGGAAATAAAGCTATATTCTATTCAAGAGATGTATCACTGCTTGATTTTAATTATAAAAGATATCATCAGTTCGGTTTTTAACTTTCTAAAAATTAGAACGGCCCACCAATGACTTGCAACCCTTCATTTTGGCCCGCGAGCGACGAAAGGTTGCCGACCCCTGCTTTATGCAGTGCTTTTCCGTACCTAGCAATCAATGACGTGTTTCTGGCCTTCTTCCGAGATTGCCTTTTTCATGTTTTTGTAGCACAACTGACTACTTACCGCCACGAAATCTCATCCGTTGACGGCGTGCGTTTTCATTTTGCCGTAAGTGTTAAATTATGACATTTTATGTGTTAGATTGATATTTTGCGAAATTTTTGAGGTCGCTGAGAAATTGTTTTGTATTGTAACTGTGACGACCTCAAATTTTTAGTTCAGTTTGTCCCGCAATTTTTAAAAATTGTTTTTGGTAGATGTTGTTAAATTACTGCTGCTAATTATTGTTACTGAAGTGTTGTCATTTTCCGATTTGTTCGGTGTATTCACATCTTAAATTGATTTTATATCGTGTTTGTTTATATTACTGTGTGTGTTTCACTAGTTAGGGTGAGCGGGTGCTTATTTTGTGCACCTTTTTAACACTAGCCTGATTTATGCTCGGCCCTCCATGTAACTTTGCATTATACCATAACGACCCAGATAAATTTGATTTGGTTGGTGCGTGTAAATTCCGCAACTGTATAAGGACTGTATATACAAGATCTTACTGATTAATTTAAAGAAATTTGCTCAAAGGCTCTCGTGATACGAATGAATGTTCGCTGACTGAAATAAGTGTGCAATCGTTTGTGCGAGAAAACACTCGTTTTCCCCAGTAGTGCATCAAAGCGCCATATTTTCAGTTACTACAAATGATGGTATCAAACTACGAATATTTTTTAATATTATTATGTCGTGAAAAAATTTCTACACTTGCCGTAATTGTGAGATCAAAGGTATAATATTGAGACCGAGTTCGACCTATGTTGTTTACCTGGTTCAAAATTAATTTGCCCAAAACGTCCACCCAGAAAGTCGAAACATGGCGTCGTGAATATCGTCTTATCAGCCGTAAAATATTGCACTCTAGTAAATTAGTGATAGTGCACTCCGAAGGCAGTTGTCATAAATTAAATTTTAAGATACCGGAATAATAAAATGATTGATAGTGTTTTATTTGGTTGAAGATAACGATTCTACACATTTAGGCGTCATATTCTTCTTTTGTGGAACCCACTAATATAAATTTATCAAATATCCTGATAGAGGTCGCGATAGATAGGAAAATATTCAAAGGGGGTCATGAGGCAAAAAAAGTTGGGACCCACTGAACCAGCGTCATCATATATTACCTATCTTTCTCTAATTTTTTTCACAATGATCATCAGATCGACTTTAATATTGGCGCTATATATTTTTTCTTGTACAACTTATGTATCGGCTAATTTATACTGCCCACACTTTCTGTCACGACTTTCCTCAGCAGTCTTGTAAAATCTTATCAAACAATGCATTAGGATTGAGACAAAATTTTATCCTACATTATCTGCATTCGGTTCTCAAATATATGACATTTATTTTCAAAACCTGCCAAATAAATTCTAGACACAAAGCAAGTTTTATATTCTATTTATATCATTTGAAACATTTTATAAGATGTGCCACGAGATGCTTATAAACCAATTTCAGGACATATTTCAGAAAAATGATTTACTCAAAAAGAAAACACCCACAGCTAATAACACTGAAATGACAAATATTGCTATGGACATTTCTCTTTTGATATGTCGAGCAAACGGGCTTTTTTTTATTGATTTCCTCTAATAACCGATCTTTTTTTTGTTTTTATGTGGAAAAGGGACGTTCGGGATAGGTTTTCCAAGAAATTTGCACAGAGGTTCCCATCCATCTGACAAATTCATTTTTAAAAGCCGGTCTTTCGGTGCCCTCTGAAAACATGTGATGATAACTTGATAAAGTTATTGTCTCATTATATATATATGCAAAATAATTGATAAACGAGGCAGTTTTTTCATAAAAAAAAATGTGAAAATACATGAATCTTTTGCTAGTATATATATATATATATATATATGTCCCTCCCAGAATCTCAAATAGTTTAAATAGTAAACAAGTTTTGGAGCATGTTAAGTACTAGAAAGAAACAATGTCGCGGTTAATGATATGCAATACCTTCTAGAATATGTCAAATTTATCTATTTTGAATTTTTTATCATTACCTGTAAAACACTGGTGTTGTGGTCTCTGTATCTCTTTTTCAAAACAGTTGGACTTCCACCTTGGTAAACTTGATTCATTCTTTGTGGAACGCTACGCGGCCTGGAATATAATTGCGAAACAAAGAAAATGTGCTCGGCGTTTCATAGCATTAGAACACCGTACAAACAACGAATATGACCGCCTTCTATGACATTTAAAGATTTTTGTCAATGTAACAGGGAATCAGGCTACCATGATGAGCCTATAGCTCGAAGTCTGAATGTGAATCGTTAGTTAGTTACCTCCACTCTGTATCACGAACACAGCCAAATAAGGATATGTGTTGTACAGTTATGTTTTGAAACGCATTTAAACACTGAAATAATTGTGGCGATGTAGGAACAAAACAGTATAGTGCTCAGAATTAATAAAATCTCAAGTACCTGTATGGTGGCTGAATTGGAAATTTTCGTAAGCTGTCCAAGAGAGAAACGGCCATATAGCAACAAAGTAATTATCTGCAATAGCCTTCATCTGTAGTTGGTAACTTTGCAACCATTCATCTTCACTGCTCCGGCATGTGAAAATAAGCTGAAATGATATATAACTTTTAGCAAATGAGATGTGACGTGTAAAATGATGTAATAAAGGCAAAAGCTTACAATTTATGTGAGGTAATTTGGAAATTCACTGTCTTCACAATTCCGTTGTTATCCGCGTCCTGAATTACAAAACAGGGCTCGCGGTGTATAAGCATCTGGTCAATGAGAATTGGTATGTCGCAATGTATTGAGTCCGCACGGCTAGTAGGAACCAAAGTGAATAAGTCGCTTTGCAGTAGAAACATGTTGACAATGCTTTTCCATACAGATTGTAGGTTAGTCTGCTAACCGAACACAACGTGAAGCATCCTAAAGTTGGATAGGAAGATGTAGTAGGCAATAGTATTATCGTAAAAAATTGAGTTGTTGACTTTGTGTCTGCAGTTTTATGCATCAACATATTTGCGGTCAGAATGTAGAATTTAGCATTGCCCCACTATTTTGGGTTGGCCTTCAACACGAATATCCATCTTTCCTAAAAAGCAAAAAAGCATTAACATTCCGATTCAATATCATTCAACTTTGTTCTGGGAGGTAGGATTAAAACAAAATAAATGAGAGATAAAAATCAATACCAACAAGCTCAAGTCTAACGACAATATGAGATGCTGTCTACTGTACAAACCTTACATGCATGCAGAACATGTCTAAAATTACTATCGACACATTTGAGTAATTGTATGCAACAAAATCGATGCACTTAATAGGGTACTACTTCTTTGATTAAAAAAGATATAATTTTTGATTTTTTGATGTGGTCAACTCAGACACTTATATTCGAAACATCAAAAGCAATTTTGTACCTTTACGTCAGGGAACGCTTCAGAAATTTCTTCCCAGAAAAGACAAGCAGGGATGTCTGCAGCAGCATCGATGTCTTCATACATTCGATAAAAGTCTTCCTTCGTCCCTCCTTCGGTCATTATTTTTATCCAATCCTCTTTAAGATAATTTTGATTTTCTTCAAAATCATAAACAGAATAACCTAGAGTGCAAAGTGCTGAAGCAAAGGTCTTCGTTCCACATTTTGAAAATGCGACTACTAATACCTTCATCTCGCCTATGCGCTTTCCCCCACTTTACAATGATCTGTCAAACGCTGTACATGATTCGAACGCGTTGCATTCAAGAAAATGCTACTATTCCCTCGGGCATGCCACATTTCTTTAAAAATAAATTATAGTTGGTTAGTTTGACGTGCAAAGAAATATTAGTTAATATTTAATGTTAAAGCCTTGTAAGGAATCAAACTCGACATGTTTTGTCATGTCGAACGTTGGAAATAGAATAGCATTGCGAAACCGCATGTCAAGTGGTTTTGAAATTTTAGCTTTAATATTTATAAAAAATATTCACCAAACTACCGAATAAAAGAAGGTGATAACGTGCTAACAAATATCGGACGTGTTTAAATGTCGAAGATGTGGGAGTAAAATTAACTTGACATGTATTTGTAATTGTAAGTCGATGAATGTTGGGAATGAAATAGCAGATTGCAAAAATATTATGTAGCCTACACAGAGTGATCAACTGAGCTAAATTAGCTACTAGTACTACATGTAGAACAGTGCTACATGGGTTAAATATTTTTAATCAATATCATGGTTATGAACATGTAAACAAGATTGTAAGCGTCATATACAAGAAATCTGTCAGAATAACCAATAGGAATTTTCCAATGATCATGTAGTACAGAAAAAGTTTTTGCTATAGAGAAACACAATCCATCACAAGTCTGCAAACGCCACACAAATTTATTGAGAGTACTGTTGTTACGGTTTGTAATGCATGGCAATGGTTGGGGTTGTTATACAGCTGTGTGTTTTCGCGCGCTCCCGAAGTATGTGCACCAAGATGGCGCACAGCCTTAACCTGGTACACATACTATGTTCAGGTTGTGCGTCATCTTGTTGCACATACTTCTGGAGCTCCATTTTTCGTGTGAGATTATATTGAACTAGTATAATCATCTGCTACCTATCTTTATCTAATTTTAACTTTTGTGTAAATACATTAATGATTAATCTATGGATGTTTCTCCGAGCATCGATTTCTTTTCGGTTTATTTCGGTACTATGACCAATCAGAAATAATGGTCAACGATGACGCAACAATGGCTATTTGTGCAGTCGCTCAGATACTTCTTGCACTCAGACAGATATTTGATGCTTAATCATAGTTGTAAACATTGTCTCGGTTTTGCATGTTATTTGTCAGTTTTCAGCCGTGTTGTTGTTGTAAATAATTTGATTGTATACCCATGTCCTCCGAGGTGCTTTAGTATAATTGCAATATTCAAAAATCAGACCTGTCAGGGATATTTAGGCTATCAGTACCGGTAAACAGCACGTGGTTAAATATTTTAATATACATGATGGTTTTGAACTTGTAAACCATTTTGTAAGCGTATATAGATTTTTAAATCACTTTTAAAATATATCTCAAAAATTTTGATATAGTACGAGGGTCGGGGAAACGGCCATAGTTTTATACTGTTCACACTGTCTATAAACAAGCGCCCAGTGGCCTGGTGAAATTTAATCTAACAATGCATCTGGTTTGAGGCATAATTTCATCTTCAAAATATCCCGCATTAGTTTCGCAAATATCTTTCCAGTAGTTATGCAACATTTATTCTCAAATCCTTCTAAATAAATTCTCTAGACTATTCTCTAGGTATTTAACTGAAAGCATTTTGAACATTGCCACTCCGCTACTGAAATAGATATGTCCCAGGATGATTTCAAATCATCGTTCAGAAAAATGACTTGCTGAGAAAGAAAGCAACTACAGCTAATAACACTGAAATGGCAATTTTCGTTATGAACACTTCTCTTTTCATTTGTCGAGCAAACGGGCTTTCGTTAACGAATTCCTCCATCACGGATCCTTTATATTTTTATGTGGAAATTGCTCGCTTGGAATAGGCTTTTCAAGAAATTTGCACAAAGGTTCCCATCCATCCGACAATTTCATTTTTAAAAGGCGGTCCTTCGGTGCTCTCTGAAAAAAACGTATTGGTTTATGATAACTTGGTAAATGTATTAAAATTGGAAAGTTTATCAGAAAAAATTAAACAGATATATATGTATACGTTAGTGGCTTTGCCAGATTTTTAAGAAATTTATCTTCAATAAAACTTCAACATATTTATGCCACAAAGAAAATGCCGCGATTCAACGAATATCATCACTTTTTATATTAAACAATTTGAATAAAAATAAGTTTTACACGGCTCCTAACAATATATAGAAGTTTACTTCTAGAATATACCAAAACTCTTCAAGTTTCATTGATTACCTGTAAAACACTGGTGTTGTGATCTCTGTATCTCTTTTTCGCAACAGTTGGACTTGCACCCTGGAAAGTTTGATTTATTCTTTGTGGAGGGCAACAGAACGCGACGCGGCCTGTAACATTTATTATAATCGTGGAACAAAGAAAAAGGCACAGTGCTTACATTATCACGCCAATACAAACAATTATGCATTTAAGCAGCGTTTCCCAAACTGTGTTCCTCGGTTCGAAGTGTTCCGTGGAAAAGTAATCAAAAATAAGTCTGAAATGGTCGCTATGACGACCACGGAACGTGAAGTTATCGCCCAACTGACCTGACCGTTCGATATCGCGTCACCGTCGGCCTAAAGCGGACTAACCAGGGTGGGGTAGTGGCATTTTCGTTAACCGTCGGCTTAGTTTTTTGACTGTTAAGTTCATTATCAGGTTTACAGCAATACTTTTGGTTTCGCTATAGGCAAACAAGTAGGTCTAAAGAATAAAGGCAAAAGGTCAACTCTTCTTCCTTCATCTCTGCCTGGTTTTGGGTCTGCAGCTCGCGAATATTGCAGAAAGTACTTCTATCTCCACTAGACAAATCATTAGAGGCAAGCCCCACGTAATGGAAAGTAAACGACATGGAAAGGTAAAATTAACGAGTTGATTCATATACGCAGCATTTAAATTAAGAAACAATAAAACATTAATAATAAATGCAATATGTAAAATATTCAATCATTTTTAGGTATGTTTAACACAATTCTGTTAGTTTGAGCGGCACATTTGGCAACTCGCCACGAGGACCCATTGGGAACCGCTACATTACACTTTTTTTCTTTATCAAATTTACCCTTTCATTTTTTGGTGTTCCGCGAGGCGAGATAAAAGTGTAAGTGCTCCGTGGCCGAAAAAGTTTGGGTAACGCTGCATTATAGAGATGTATCGGCCAATTTTTAGTATCGGTATCGGCTGAATATAGAACGATATTTCGGATATATTTAGCTTTTAATGAAATCCATACTGTTTAAAAAAATTAATTAGAAAATATATTTGGCTTGGAGAGCCATGCACATCACCACCCCCGCGAGTGGAATATGATTCTAACCTGTTTTTATCTATTTATCAGCCAAACTGGTTAAACTAATTTGGGTATTTTTGCTGCCAAATTTTATATTGACATTTTTAATATTACATGGTAATTATTAAGAAATATATCAATCGAATATTAGTTATATTGGCACAAAATCCTGCGCACACAACTCAATGTGTCTGTTTGACATGATAAGAAAACCACCCATAGCAGTAGAATTTTACCACCCACAGTAGCCAAACCCCATGAGTTTTCTAATCGAACTCCGGAATAACTAGCGTCGGCGCACAATGAATCTGCACAATCAACGCATCTGGATCTCAAACATCAATTTCTTATTGTTTGTGATATCTCTTTTTCAATCTGAAATAGTGTGCACGGCAAATATTGCTTACGGACAATTGTTTTAACTCTTCTGCCTCGCACACCTATGAGAGTAATTACATAGTATCGGAATATCGGCCTTTTAAAGTATTGGTGTTTTCTATTGGTATCGGTATCGGTGCATCTCTACTATACACGCCTTTAAAAAGATTCAAATATTTGCAATGTAGCATAATGAAACTGAGAATCGGACCATCATGATGAACCTATATCCCTAAGTCTGTATAGGAATCGTTAGTTCGTAACTCCACTTCATGCCACGCACACAACCCGTATAAATCAGAACCGCAGTTTGTCATAGATATGATTAATGTAATGTTAGAACAAAACCTTGCTTGCTGCCTCAAATTACTAAAATCTCAAGTACCTGCATGGTGGCAGAATCGGAAATTTTTGTAAGCTGTCCATGAGAGAAACGGCCACGTGGCAACATAGTGATCATCTGCAATAGCCTTCATCTGTATTTGATAACTTTTCAACCATTCATCTTCATTATTGCGACATGTGAAAATAAGCTGAAATGATATATATATATATATATATATATATAAACTTTGATAAATGTGAAGTGCTGTGCCAAATGATGTAACTATTCGATTTTGTTTCGATGGATGCAATGGGGTTTGAAATAGATATCCTAGCATGATTCACGGTGTAAAATGTAAGTCTGCAGTTCCAAATAACATTGGAAGGAGGGTGTCATTTTAATAATTAATGTGACTGTTCAGCAGATATAGCATTATAGATTATTCCACTTTTCTGATTGCACTCCTCAGGGAAAACACGTTTGGAATCGCATAGCGTTTGATCAGGTAGGATAGGAGTTTGGGATATTCGCCAATCACATGATGATTTATTTACACATCTGTTTGTTGATTACAGCTTTTCCTTAAAATTGCGCCTAATTATCTCAAACGTTGAATAATTGTCATACCGGATCTTCTCCTATTTGCGGAGAGTATACAATACTCGTATTGGGTAAACTCTCCAATCCTCATATCGTGTAATCTCTACGTATAGCTCAAGTATATATATATATATAATAGTTTCATCAGCATCCAGCCACTGACACTGTTTACGAATGAGGTGAATCACATCTGATAGTTAACCATGGAGCCACTCGATTTTATTTCTAATTTTGTCAAAACAAGTACAATCACATATATACTATCATTTAAATCAATCGAATTAATTGAAAGTTTTAGATAATGTATTATTTTACGTACCGTTGCTTTATACCATGTCATGCGTGAAAAAAGTTAAACGGGATATATCGATTTTACGTAGACACTTGGGCTAACTGTTTAACGGTATTATTAGAACATGATTTACACATTTCTCCCGGGAGAAAGAAAAGCCGATAAGAAGGCTTGATCATATGACGATCCATAGTCTTTCGTCCGGATAACAGTCCATGTTAGGGCTTAGTTAGCTTCGTATTTGTTTACTTGCTATTGGACGAAGCCGTAACGACCAGCAATTACGTGAACCACTCTGCGATGGGTATGAGTCCAGCAATCCTATCTCACATAATTATCCCCCGCTGAATTTGAACCAGCGAACCCATGCAGGGTAATCAGGGTGCTTTGGCAATCGTATTCCTGATGTTTAGCACGATGAGCAATACCGCCAAGAATATCATATAAACCGCCGCAAAGCGCATATAACACATTGTCAGCCGATAAAAGGAGTTATGTTTGTTTCGAATATAAGCCGCAAGTAGTATTTCACACTTGGACAAGATAAAATTGACGATGATATATGTAGAATATTTCGTAACATTTTCCTGTTGTAATTTGCCAAGTTTTGCAGCCCAAGGTAATTACCTACATAGGATCAGAACTTGGAAATATCGTAGAAATGATTGATCTTTGCTAGCAAAACCGCTAACTAACATAAACCCAAAATAACAGTGAAGAAACCGTGACCTTTTGGTGTCGAGCATGACGAGCGTGGCGTTAATTGACATGGGAAACCTTACACGCAGAAGTAGTCTGAAATTAATATAGACACATTTGAGATATTAAATCAAACGAAACCAATGAAATATACAACATTTTATTCCTGACTGAACAAGATTTTTTCCAATATGGTGTAAAATAAGCAGTTTCTTTGTGAATACAGAATAACTTTTGATTTTCTGATGTGGGCAATTCCTACATTTATAATCAAAGCACCAAACACATTTTAGTACCTTAACGTCGGGGAACGCTTCAGAGATTTCTTCCCAGAAAAGACATGCAGGGATGTCTGTAGCAGCATCAACGTCTTTATACATTCGATAAAAATCTTCTTTCGTCCCTCCTTCGGTCATTATTTTTATCCATTCCTCTCTAAGATAATTTTGATTTTCTTCGAAATCATAGACTGAATAACCTAGAGTGCGAAGTGCTGAAGCTAAGGTCTTTGTTCCACATTTTGAAAATGAGACTACTAATACCTTCATGTCGCCTATGCGCGCACTACTTCCCTAGTTTACAATGATCTGTCAAACGTTGTGCATAACCCAACCGCGCTGCGTTCAAGAAAATGCTAATTTACACTCTGATAGCCCACATTCATGTAAACGAATTTGTAGTCAGTTTATTTGACGAGCAAACAACTATCAGTGGTGTTTAATGTTAAAGCTGTGTTAGTAATACTAACTTGACATGGTTTGCTAGGTCAATGGATGTCGGAAATAGAATAGCTGATTGCATAACCGCATGTTTAAGTGGTTGTGAAGTTATTATTATATTATATTATATTACGTATTCATTAAACTGCCGAACAAGAGAAGGCGATAGCGTGAACAAATATCAGACGTGTTCAATGCCTAATATTGAATTATAGACAAAGGCAACAAAACACAGAAAGGTTGCTGCTAAGTGCAAATGGTTGAATGGCGCCGAAAATATCCAAATGGAATTTTTTGAGATGCAATGCAATGAGGAAATAAAGCTATATTCTATTCAAGAGATGTATCACTGCTTGATTTTAATTATAAAAGATATCATCAGTTCGGTTTTTAACTTTTTAAAAATATGAACGGCCCACCAATGACTTGCAACCTTCATTTTGGCCCGCGAGCGACGAAAGGTTGCCGACCCCTGCTTTATGCAGTGCTTTTCCGTACCTAGCAATCAATGACGTGTTTCTGGCCTTCTTCCGAAATTGCCTTTTTCATGTTTTCGTAGCCCAACTGACTACTTACCCCCACGAAATCTCATCCGTTGACGGCGTGCGTTTTCATTTTGCCGTAAGTGTTAAATTATGACATTTTATGTTAGATTTGATATTTTGCGAAATTTTTGAGGTCGCTGAGAAATTTTTTTGTATTGTAACTGTGACGACCTCAAATTTTTACTTCAGTTTGTTCCGCAATTTTTAAAAATTATTTTTGGTAGATGTTGTTAAATTACTGCTACTAATTATTGTTACTGGAGTGTTGTCATTTTCCGATTTGTTCGGTGTATTCACATCCTAAATTGATTTTATATCGTGTTTGTTTATATTACTGTGTGTGTTTCACTAGTTAGGGTGAGCGGGTGCTTATTTTGTGCACCTTTTTAACACTAGCCTGATTTATGCTCGGCCCTCCATGTAACTCTGCATTTTGCCATAACGACCCAGATAAATTTGATTTGGTTGGTGCGTGTAAATTCCGCAACTGTATAAGGACTGTATATACAAGATCTTACTGATTAATAGAAAGCATTTTGCTCAAAGGCTCTCGTGATGCGAATGCATGTTCGCTGACTAAAATAAGTGAGCAATCGTTTGTGCGAGAAAACACTCGTTTTCCCCGGTAGTGCATCAAAGCGCCATATTTTCAGTTACTACCAGTGATGGTACCTCCAAATTTGGTAACTCCAAATAATTTTTATCATTATTATGTCGCAAAATTTTTTTTACACTTGCCTCAATTGTGAGATCAAAGGTATAATATTTGAGACCGAGTTTGACCTATGTTGTTTACCTGGTTCAAAATTAATTTGCCCAGAAAGTCGAAACATGACGTCGTGAAAATCGTATTATCAGCCGTAAAATATGGCACTCAGGTCAATCTAAAGGCAGTTGTCACAAATTAAATTCTAAGATAACGGAATAATAAAATGATTGATAGTATTTTATTGGTTGAAGATAACGATTCTACACATTTAGGCGTCATATCCTTCATTTGTGGAACCCACTAATATAAATTCATCAAATATCCTGATAGAGGTCGCGATAGATAGGAGAATACGCAAAGGGGTTCATAAGGCAAAAAAGTTGGGACCCACTGAACCAGCGTCATCATATATACCTATCATTCTCTAATTTTGTCACAATGATCATCAGCTCGACTTTCATATTGGCGCTATATATTTTTCTTGTATAACTTATGCATCGGCTAATTTATACTGCCCACACTTTCTGTCAAGACTTTTCTCAGCAGTCTTGGTAAATTTTATCAAACAATGCATTAGGATCGAGACAAAATTTCATCCTACATTATCTGCATTCGGTTTTCAAAGTTATTGAACATTCCATTTTCAAAACCTGCCAAATAAATTCTAGACACAAAGCAAGTTTTATATTCTATTTATATCATTTGAAACATTTTATAAGATGTGCCACGAGATGCTTATAAACCAATTTCAGGACATATTTCAGAAAAATGATTTACTCAAAAAGAAAACACCCACAGCTAATAACACTGAAATGACAAATATTGCTATGGACATTTCTCTTTTGATATGTCGAGCAAACGGGCTTTTTTTATTGATTTCCTCTATAACCGATCTTTTTTTGTTTTTATGTGGAAAAGGGACGTTCGGGATAGGTTTTCCAAGAAATTTGCACAGAGGTTCCCATCCATCTGACAAATTCATTTTTAAAAGCCGGTCTTTCGGTGCCCTCTGAAAACATGTGATGATAACTTGATAAAGTTATTGTCTCATTATATATATGCAAAATAATTGATAAACGAGGCAGTTTTTCATAAAAAAAAATGTGAAAATACATGAATCTTTTGCTAGTATATATATATATATATATATGTCCCTCCCAGAATCTCAAATAGTTTAAATAGTAAACAAGTTTTGGAGCATGTTAAGTACTAGAAAGAAACAATGTCGCGGTTAATGATATGCAATACCTTCTAGAATATGTCAAATTTATCTATTTTGAATTTTTTATCATTACCTGTAAAACACTGGTGTTGTGGTCTCTGTATCTCTTTTTCAAAACAGTTGGACTTCCACCTTGGTAAACTTGATTCATTCTTTGTGGAACGCTACGCGGCCTGGAATATAATTGCGAAACAAAGAAAATGTGCTCGGCGTTTCATAGCATTAGAACACCGTACAAACAACGAATATGACGCCTTCTATGACATTAAAGATTTTTCAATGTAAGGGAATCAGGCTACCATGATGAGCCTATAGCTCGAAGTCTGAATGTGAATCGTTAGTTAGTTACCTCCACTCTGTATCACGAACACAGCCAAATAAGGATATGTGTTGTACAGTTATGTTTTGAAACGCATTTAAACACTGAAATAATTGTGGCGATGTAGGAACAAAACAGTATAGTGCTCAGAATTAATAAAATCTCAAGTACCTGTGGTGGCTGAATTGGAAATTTTAAGCTGTCCAAGAGAGAAACGGCCATATAGCAACAAAGTAATTATCTGCAATAGCCTTCATCTGTAGTTGGTAACTTTGCAACCATTCATCTTCACTGCTCCGGCATGTGAAAATAAGCTGAAATGATATATAACTTTTAGCAAATGAGATGTGACGTGTAAAATGATGTAATAAAGGCAAAAGCTTACAATTTATGAGGTAATTTGGAAATTCACTGTCTTCACAATTCCGTTGTATCCGTCCTGAATTACAAAACAGGGCTCGCGGTGTATAAGCATCTGGTCAATGAGAATTGGTATGTCGCAATGTATTGAGTCCGCACGGCTAGTAGGAACCAAAGTGAATAAGTCGCTTTGCAGTAGAAACATGTGACAATGCTTTTCCATACAGATTGTAGGTTAGTCTGCTAACCGAACACAACGTGAAGCATCCTAAAGTTGGATAGGAAGATGTAGTAGGCATAGTATTATCGTAAAAATTGAGTTGTTGACTTTGTGTCTGCAGTTTTATGCATCAACATATTTGCGGTCAGAATGTAGAATTAGCATTGCCCCACTATTTTGGGTTGGCCTTCAACACGAATATCCATCTTTCCTAAAAAGCAAAAAGCATTAACATTCCGATTCAATATCATTCAACTTTGTTCTGGGAGGTAGGATTAAAACAAAATAAATGAGAGATAAAAATCAATACCAACAAGCTCAAGTCTAACGACAATATGAGATGCTGTCTACTGTACAAACCTTACATGCATGCAGAACATGTCTAAAATTACTCGACACATTTGAGTAATTGTATGCAACAAAATCGATGCACTTAATAGGGTACTACTTCTTTGATTAAAAAAGATATAATTTTTGATTTTTTGATGTGGTCAACTCAGACACTTATATTCGAAACATCAAAAGCAATTTTGTACCTTTACGTCAGGGAACGCTTCAGAAATTTCTTCCCAGAAAAGACAAGCAGGGATGTCTGCAGCAGCATCGATGTCTTCATACATTCGATAAAAGTCTTCCTTCGTCCCTCCTTCGGTCATTATTTTTATCCAATCCTCTTTAAGATAATTTTGATTTTCTTCAAAATCATAAACAGAATAACCTAGAGTGCAAAGTGCTGAAGCAAAGGTCTTCGTTCCACATTTTGAAAATGCGACTACTAATACCTTCATCTCGCCTATGCGCTTTCCCCACTTTACAATGATCTGTCAAACGCTGTACATGATTCGAACGCGTTGCATTCAAGAAAATGCTACTATTCCCTCGGGCATGCCACATTTCTTTAAAATAAATTATAGTTGGTTAGTTTGACGTGCAAAGAAATATTAGTTAATATTTAATGTTAAAGCCTTGTAAGGAATCAACTCGACATGTTTTGTCATGTCGAACGTTGGAAATAGAATAGCATTGCGAAACCGCATGTCAAGTGGTTTTGAAATTTTAGCTTTAATATTTATAAAAAAATATTCACCAAACTACCGAATAAAAGAAGGTGATAACGTGCTAACAAATATCGGACGTGTTTAAATGTCGAAGATGTGGGAGTAAAATTAACTTGACATGTATTGTAATTGTAAGTCGATGAATGTTGGGAATGAAATAGCAGATTGCAAAAATATTATGTAGCCTACACAGAGTGATCAACTGAGCTAAATTAGCTACTAGTACTACATGTAGAACAGTGCTACATGGGTTAAATATTTTTAATCAATATCATGGTTATGAACATGTAAACAAGATTGTAAGCGTCATATCACAAGAAATCTGTCAGAATAACCAATAGGAATTTTCCAATGATCATGTAGTACAGAAAAAGTTTTTTGCTATAGGAGAAACACAATCCATCACAAGTCTGCAAACGCCACACAAATTTATTGAGAGTACTGTTGTTACGGTTTGTAATGCATGGCAATGGTTGGGTTGTTATACAGCTGTGTGTTTTTCGCGCGCTCCCGAAGTATGTGCACCAAGATGGCGCACAGCCTTAACCTGGTACACATACTATGTTCAGGTTGTGCGTCATCTTGTTGCACATACTTCTGGAGCTCCATTTTTCGTGTGAGATTATATTGAACTAGTATAATCATCTGCTACCTATCTTTATCTAATTTTAACTTTTGTGTAAATACATTAATGATTAATCTATGGATGTTTCTCCGAGCATCGATTTCTTTTCGGTTTATTTCGGTACTATGACCAATCAGAAATAATGGTCAACGATGACGCAACAATGGCTATTTGTGCAGTCGCTCAGATACTTCTTGCACTCAGACAGATATTTGATGCTTAATCATAGTTGTAAACATTGTCTCGGTTTTGCATGTTATTTGTCAGTTTTCAGCCGTGTTGTTGTTGTAAATAATTTGATTGTATACCCATGTCCTCCGAGGTGCTTTA